TCCTCCAGCGTTCTGCTGATGTAGATGCAGATTAAAGCTGACCGTAAGCACATCCTCAGTACATTTCACATCCATTGTGTTGCTGTTTAGCGCCAAAAATGTCAGAATTGTGTCGTTGTCCAATTATTTTTGGACCTGACTGTACTTTCCTACTTTATAGGATGCTTAAAACAGTATGTGAGTCTAGTGTTGTTTTACTAGGGCTATTTGACTCATATTTAAGCACTGCTTTTTACACCTCCTCTTCATATTATATATATTAGCTGGTGATCAGGACCAAACCAGCACATTCAGAGAGTTGGTGATGGACATGAGCACAGTAGATTTGAGGATTGACATTCCCTTGATCCGCTTTGTTTTAAAGGTTTAGTGAAGGAGGGTCTGTTTTTGACCTGAATGATGAACAGAATTTACAGAATTATAAGACCACACAAGGGTTAAACAACACTTCAGAGCATTTAGATGTCAGATGACCGCTGAAACGCATCATAATGTCAAGCTGCTGTGCTGTTTATATCATCAGGTCACGTACAGAGCAGGACGTCTATAGAAGAAGTGATCCGCTTTGCTGCGGAAGAGAAGCTCTTCATACTGGCGGATGAGGTGAGCGTTTATCGGTATATCGGTTTATCGGTTTATTTAGAATTGTGTTTCCTTTAATGTTTTATCTTTTGGAGAAAGTCTTATCTGTGTTTTTTCAGCTAGAATAAAAGCAATTTTTAACTGTTTTAAACCCTATTTGGTCTATATTATTCGCCTCTTCAGCAATATTAGTGTTGGATTGTCTCCAGCACAAACCACTGTTATATAATGACTTGCCTAATTACCCTAACTTTACCCTAATTACCCTAGTGAAGCCTTTACATGTCACTGTAAGCTGAACACTAGTGTCTTGAAGAATATCTAGACTATTATTATGTGCTGTCATCATGATGAAGAGGAAACTTGATATGAACTTGTATGTCGTGTACGTGTAATCTTTCCATGTATCAGATTTTGGTTATAATTTACACTAAAGTTTCATTATGTAATGTTAGTTAATGCATTAAACACACTGAGCAATACCTTTAATATGGTATTTTTTAATCTCTGGTAATGTTAGGTAATGGAAATACCGTTGTTCATTGTTAGCTCATGTTAACTCATTAACTTCTTAAACTCTGCTGCTATTTTGGGATTTCCGCCTGGATTTTGCCTTCCCAAATTTAAAAGCTTCCCAAATCCACATGCAGAGGTGTAAATGCAAAAATTTGGTTTCATTTTAAAGAAAACCCTTTGAATTTTCATTAAACACTGTTGACAGTGTTATTTGTCAGACATATAAAAGGATTAATTATGCACATCACCTCAAAAACAGAGGAGAATGGCCCTGAAGCGCACAGCATAAGGTGAGAGATGACAGCTGTCTGTGCTATCTGGGGCTGCTTATTGATCATGAATGTATTGTTTTCACTTCTGCACCATGGAAACACCGAGATTCATTCAACAACTGTTTGATATGTGAATATAATTCAGTAAAAAGAATGCTAGAACTGTATTAGCACCGGCAAGAGCTTTCATTAGAGCTATAACTTGTACATGTGTCATATATGAACCATATGAAAATGAACCAATGTTCAATCCCCAGCTCAGGTATCCAAAATACTGTGTGTTTAAGTGTAAATAACTTTTATACAGTAGAATAAAAACCAAAGTGATGCATATGTGCACAAAATATACCTTCTACACTTTCAAATGAAACCACTTAAGGGGGTCTGGTGCAATGCTGGCCCTTTAAATCTTAAAGCCAAAGTCGATGACGAGAGTTGAATTCACAGAGAGTTTGTGAGGTTAACCGGTGTAAACAATACTGAATTTTTAATCAGTAAATGTTGAAGTATAAGTAATAAATGCTGTACAGGTGTTGTTCATTATCAGTTTGTGTTGGTAAAAACACTATCTAATGAAACCTTATTGTAAAGTGTGACCCAGATGTTATTATATGAGAATTACCCGAAGGNAAATGTGCATCAAAGTCTTCATGTTCATTAAAAGCATCAGGCAGGTTATTGACTAGTGTCATCAATAATGCATTTATAATTAGTAAATGTTGAAGTATGAATAATAAATGCTGTTCATAATTGATGAAGTGGCGCTTTGTGTTTGTCCTCAGGTGTACCAGGACTGTGTGTTTGCAGACGAGGCTGACTTTGTTTCCTATAAGAAGGTGTTATCAGAGATGGAGTCTCCTATCAGCAGCACTGTAGAGCTGGCCTCCTTTCACTCGGCGTCCAAGGGCTTCATGGGAGAGTGAGTGAGCTGATTACATCCCTGTCCATTAGATTTGTTAGTCAGTAATCTAGTGTCTCCAACATTCACATGTAGAAGATATAAACTTGATATAAGCATCTAAGCTTTGCAGTTTCTGCCTAAATGCATCATTTCTCACATCATCTCATACTTGAGTTTCTCATCAACACTTCTGACCAATCAAATGCTCTCTAGTGTCCGACATGCCCCGCCCCTTCTTCTCATTTGATGTTCTTGAGCTCAAACATTCTCACTGGCGGAGCTGTGCGAAAAACAACAAGCGATTGGCTGTTTGTTAAAAAGGGGAGGAGCTATTCTATGCCACGCCTTCTCTTCATTATTCAGAATCTGACTTTCTCAGGCGCAGCAGACTCTAATGCTGGGCTGAGCTAGTGTTCTGTGTCTATGCTGTGAAACTGAATGTCTGCTTGTTCGTGCGCAGATGTGGTCTTCGTGGAGGTTATGTGGAGCTGGTGAACGTGGATCCGGCGGTGCAGAGATATATTCGGACTCTATTCTCCACTCGCTCCTGCCCTCCGGTTCCTGGACAAATCGCAATCCAGCTCATGGTAGATCCTCCCAAACCCGGAGATCCTTCATTCCCTGCATTCACCGAGGTTAAATGCTTCTTATCAACCAGCAGAGACACAAACTCAGACCTTTCTTACGCAGAGTTTTTGTGTTGTTTTTTTGTCCAGATATTTTAAATCAAGAAGTAGAGAATTTAGTCTTGTTTTCAGAAATAATGAGTCAAAATGAAAAGAGTTTTTCCTTAAAACAAGCAAAATAAGCTGCCAATGGAGGAATAGACGATCCTCTTCAGATAATTAATCTTGTTTTTAGATAAAAAGTGAGATTATTTTAGGAAAATAATGAGCAAAAGAGGTAAATGAAAAGCTAAATAATCTTCTTTTCAGATTATTTTATCAAAATAAGGAGTAAAATAAGGAGCAATTACAACGCAGAATACTGTTGTTTCAGATCAAAACAAAGCGTTCAAACGTCGCTGTTTTTAGATAATAAATAATATTGTTTTCAGATTATTTTAGCAAATTTAAGAGCAAAAATAAAATAAATAAAAAGCTAAATAATCTTGCTGTCAGATACAAAGATAAATACACTGTTTTCAGATTATTTTTAAGCTAAATAAAAAGCTAAATATAGGCTAAACAACCTTGTTGCAGATACAAAGCTTGAAAAAAATCTTGGTTTTAGATTATTTACTTTAATAAACAGCAATTACAAAGCAAAATAATCTTGTTTTCAGATAAAAAGCTAAATATTATTGCTTACAAATAAAAAAATGCTAAATAAAAAAAGCAAGATTAAAGAGTTAAAGAACCTTTTTTTAAATAAAAAGCAAAATAATATTGTTTTCAGGTTTTTTTTTTCCAAAATAAAGAGCAATTGTAATTCAAAATAAACTTGTTTTCAGATAAAAAATAACTACATAATAAGGTTTTTAGACTATTTTAGCAAAATAATGAGCAAAATGAAAGGCCAAAAAAATCTTTTACATTATTCTCACAAAATAAAGAGCAAAATAATCTTGTTTTTAGATAAAATGCTAAATCATATTGCTTTCAGATTATTTTAGCAAACTTATTTGCAAAATAAAAAGCTAAATAAAGGCAAAAAAATCTTGCTTTCAGATGCAAAGCTAAATAATTTTGTTCTGAGATTGTTTTAGCAAAATAAAGAGCAACAAAGGAGCTAAAGAATCTTGTTTTCAGATTAAAAGCAAAATATATTGTTTTCAGATTATTAATTTTGGAAAGTAAAAAGCAACAAATAAAGCAAAATAAAACAAAATTATATTGTTTTCAGATTATTTTATTAAAATAAAGAGCATCTGCAGAGCTAAATAATCTTGTTTTCAGATAAAAACTTTCAAATTACATTGTTTTCAGAATTTATTATAGAAAAAAATAGCGATTACAAAGCAAAGATGAAATGCTAAATAATATTGTTTTTAGATTATTTTCGGAAAGTAAAGAGCAAATAAAAAGCGAAATTAATAGCAAAATAATCTTGATTTCAGATAAAATGCTGAAAAATATCGCTTTCAGATTAATTTAGCCAAACAAATTGCCCAAATAAAAAGCTAAATAAAGGCAAAGGAGCTAAATAATCTTGTTTTTAGATAAAAAGCAAAATAATATTGTTTTCAGATGATTTTCACACTAAAAAAGCTAAATATAGGCAAAATAACCTTGTTTTATGATATAAAAAAAAATCTTGTTTTTAGATAATTTCAGCAAAATAAAGACCAATTATAGGGCAAAACAGCAAAATAATCCTGCTTTCAGGTAAAAAAAAAAAACAACTCTCAGTAATATTATTTGCAGATTATAATAGCGAATTTAAAAATGCAAAATAAAAGAGCACCTTTGTTTGCTTGTTTTAAGGAAAAACTCTCTGTATTTTGATGTGCTTGTCTTGAAACAACACACAGTTTTTTATTTGCCCAATATAATGCTTCTTGATTATTATGGTCTGTACATATTTGTACTAGAAACAGGACAAAAGCTGTCAGTAAGGAAAGCCTGTTCTGCATCATCTGCCTCTGCTTCCTATTCATCATCCAAATGTTGCATACTCTCTGCCAGGAGGTTCAGTCCATCAGAGATGTTGTGTGCAGAAACGTGCGGCTGATCCAGGAGGTGTGCAGGGAGCTGCCGGGAGTGCGCTGTCAGCCGCTGAAGGCAGGCTTTTTTGTCTACCCGCGTCTCCAGATCCCTCCAAAGGCAATAAAATGGGCAAAGGTGATCTCAGATGCACTCAATCTGTGACTCTGTGATGACTGGATTTCAATATTTTCCCTTGGGTTTGGGTTGTTAGGGTGCGCAGAAATGGTCACTACATGTGGTCACACTTTACATAAAGGTGTAATAGTTAGTGTATTTACTGACATGAACAATCTATTTATAGTTTATATGTTACCATAGCAACTGTAGACTCACCACAACAGATCAGTTACTATATTTGTTGTGTTACCATAGCAACTGTAGAATAACCACAGTAGATCAATTACTATAGTTGTTACCATAGCAACTGTAGAATCGCCAAAGCAGATTAGTTACTATAGTTATTGTGTTACCATAGCAACTGTAGAATCACAACAGCAGATCAGTTACTATAGTTGTTACCATAGCAACTGTAGAATCGCCAAAGCAGATTAGTTACTATAGTTATTGTGTTACCATAGCAACTGTATAATCGCCACAACAGATCGGTTACTATAGTTGTTGTGTTACCATAGCAACTGTAGAATCACCACAGCAGAGTAATTCAAGCATAGAATGGTTCATAAAGCGCTAATAAACTCCTCTGGTCTAGTTTTAAATGTGGGACTGTAACACCTTCTCTCCACGTCTTCCCTCTGCAGGAGCACCAGATGAAGGCAGATATGCTGTACTGTATGCGTCTGCTGGAGGAAGAAGGTCTGCATGTGAGACCCGGCTGTGAATATGGACAGGCAGAAGACACCTACCACATCAGGTCTGCATGCATTTACACCACTAAACACTACAGCACATGCAGGACATCAGCTAGTGTACATTTAAACCTTACTCTAGTAAATATGCCAGTAAATGGGAATGTTGTGGTAATTCTACTTGAACAACACCAAATCTAGGTTTAGAGCAGTTTAGAAAAGCTGTTTGGATCATCTTCAAGTGTTTAAAGGCAGCAGTCCTTTCATTGGGCATTGGGAGAGTGTTGTGTGAGTGAATGATGGATGTTGTTTTCAGTGCCGGGTATATCGTGAATACAGCTGATCTGTGTTGTCTGACAGGCTGTTTGTGGGAACTCGAGCAGACACCATGGAGGCCGCTCTGCGGAGACTGAAGACCTTCCACACACGCTTCCTGGAGGACTTCTCTTAGGTCATTCATCACAGCTCAGATGATGAGACTGCTTTCACAATAAAAGGAAATATGCAAACAGATGAAGACTAAATGAGCAGCCCTCCTGCGAAATACATGTTCAGCATATTCAGATATTTCCCCCAGTCAGAATCTGCACTGCTCTAATGCTGTTCTGACTCTGAGTCTGTGTCTGTTTCTCGTCCAGATATATTAAAACTCTTAAATCAAGAACATATAGTGTTGTTTTCAGAAATAGAGTCAAAATGAAGTGAGTTTTCCATTAAAACGAGCAAAATAATCTGATAATAGAGGAAGGAAAAATAATGTAGTTTTTGATTTCGAGATGAGATTACTCCTCTCACCCTATTGTCAGATTATTTTGCTTGTTTAAAGGTAAAACTCACTTCTTTTGACTCATTATTTCTGAAAACAACACTATACTGTTGTCAAAATGCTGAAATATCTCTCCATTGAACAACCCTTGGGAAATAAGTGAAGATGAATGAAGCGTTCAGATGAGGGCTGAGACAGATGATGAACTGTTTGATTCAGACTTGAATGTTATCAGTGTATAATAGCAGTGTATTGCTTTTTAAAATTTGATAATGAATGAATTAAGAATTGATTTGAGGGGAAACAATCATGTTTATCCTCCATTTTGATTTTCAGAAATCAATGTAAACGAGTGTAAACTGAGGTTATGGTCAGGCACATTAAAATGAAGAGTGATTTGATGACATATTGATCAACTAAACTGGCCCTAGTGTATGAGTGTGTGTGTGTGTGTGTGTGTGTGTGTGTATAGGTGTTTCCCAGTGCTGGGTTGCAGCTAGAAGGGCATCCGCTGCTTAAAACGTATGCTGGATAAGTTGGTGGTTCATTCTGCTGTGGTGAATCCTGATTAATAAAGGAAAGGAAAATTAAAAAAAATTAAAGAAAAAACTGACATGGAAAATATACGTATTCTTTATCTTCAGGTAAGTTATTAAATTATGTAAAATAATAATAACAATAATAATAATAACAATAATAACATTAACAACAACAATAACAACAACACAATAATAATAATAACAATAATAACAATAATAGCAATAATAACAACAATAATAATAATAACTATATTAATATTAATAATAATAAAGGATATTTTCAACATTTCAGTAGTCACACTTTAATGTGCATTTCGTTTACTTTTAGGAAAAATATAATTAATTAAATTATAAATATAATTAATAATTAAAATATTTTAGAATGTTCTTACAAAATGTAGGATTTATTTTTTATTATTACTTTTAATGGGATTGTTTAGTTTAAATTCAATATCAAAAACATATAAAAACTGATATGAAGTAATTTCTGAAAGCGTTAACATATTCAAAACATAAAAAGGTTGTTTTTGAGTGACTGATAAGACTTTTATTTTGTTTCTTCGTCCGCGAGGCGTCCGTCATGACGCACTACGCCGCTACCTCGCGCGGTGTTTGTGTTTCGTAAGAGTGTATTTGAGGCACAAATGCCGAAATATTATTGCTGACAGCTGCAGTGATGTGAGCGAGCGGAGATTCGACATGTTATCAAGGGCTCTAGTTTGTATTTAAGCAGCGCTGATGCTGAATAACGCGAGATGTGCAGGAAGAGACCGCGAGCTGTTTTGTTTCCGCTGAAGTTGAGGGAACTCAGACATCATCACTGTATAAAGCTGAGGAATGAGTCTGTCGTCAGCCAAACATCTGAAATAACAAGGAGACTAAAAGCTAAATCAGAGGTGAGTGTTTTCTATTTTCTTTCAAATGATAACTGGAGAAAAATCAAACACAAATGCCCTAAAATAAAGCACAGACCTGCCTCTAAATACACCTTTATTTGACAATATATGATAGGAGATTTTCACATTAAACTTTTTATATGTTTGTGAAACATTTATCACTCTGTGCATCTCGAACTAAATATATTTCCAAGTCAAATCTTTCACACACACACTCACTGGCCACTTTATTAGGTACACCTGACCCCTTTAGCCTTCAGATCTGCCTTAATCCTTCATGTCAGAGATTCAACAAGCTACTGGAAATATTCCTCAGAGATTTTGCTCCATATTGTCATGATAGCATCACACAGTTGCTGCAGATTTGTCGGCTGCACATCCATGATGCCAATCTCCCGTTCCACCACATCCCAAAGCTGCTCTATTGGATTGAGCTCTGGTGACTGTGGAGGCCATTTGAGTACAGTGAACTCATCGTCATGTTCACCAGTCTGAGATGATTGAGCTTTATGACATGCTGCGTTATCCTGCTGGAAGTAGCCATCAGAAGATGGAGACACTGTGCTCATAAAGGGATGGACATGGTCAGCAGCAATACTCAGGTAGGCTGTGGCGTTGATGCTCAATTGGTACTAATGGACCCAAAGAAAATCTCCCCCACACCATTACACCACCACCACCAGCCTGAACCGCTGATACAAGGCAGGATGATCCATGCTTTCATGTTGTTGAGCCGAGCATCTGAATGTGTCAGCAGAAATGGAGACTCAGAGCAGCAACGTTTCTCCAATCTTCTATTGTCCAGTTTTGGTGAGTCTGTGTGAATTGTAGCCTCAGTTTCCTGTTCTTAGCTGACAGGAGCGGCACCCGGTGTGCTCTTCTGCTGCTGTAGCCCATCCGCCTCAAGGTTGGACGTGTTGTGTGTTCAGAGATGCTCTTCGGCAGAGCTCGGTTGTAGCGAGTGCTTATTTGAGTTACTGTTGCCTCTCTCTCTCTCTCTCTATATATATATATATATATATATATATATATATATATATATATATATATATATATATATATATATATATAGAT